AATTAATTTTACAGTAAGTAAAACTGAGGCATGAATTAAATAAAATAAATCTCAAATGAATTACATAGTGCCATGACCGTGCTTCATATGGCAGGATAGGATTTAAGGAGATTTTTCTCAAAGTGGGATATAGAAATTGAACGTATTGAAGCTTTGGATGATTCATTTTCTGTGGAAATTTAATCATTGAATAACAAAACAGAGGGATCTAGAAGTATTTACTGTTCAAAGTTCCTGAAGATGGTGGGTCAGCAGCAATACTTAACTAATTGGTTTCCCGGCTAATTAGAAGAAGTGGAGAACATATGTCTAAAATTCATTGCTTACTGGGAAGATCTGATTCTCCCTGTTAATATGTTCAACTAAGCTGTGCCTACAGATTGTTCTTTCTTTTAGCTTCAGCTTAACCATGACTCAAGCTCATCTCCGTTTTACCCTCATATAGGAATCTTGCCATATTACCACAACATTTTATTCTGAACCTGCTATAAAGGCAATTAGTCTTTCATTATAACACAAAAATTCAAACTGGTTGCAATTATGTTTTCTGAATCAAAACCATACCCTTTGATGTGGATAATTTAAGGTTCTATGTTTAAAATGCATTGAATGAGTCATAATGGTAAATAAGAAGGTCCTTAAACTAGCATTCATATCTTCTGCATGTGAAAAAATTAAATGGATAATTTCTACCTATGACAAACTTATTTTTGTGGTGGAGAATGTTAAAGAATGGATTTAATTAGCTCTAACTATGCTCAGAAGCATAATTTGAAGTACCGTTGAATGAATGAAGAAAGTATTTTCAAGAATAAAAAAAGCCCTCTTAAAATTCCCTTTTGTTCATTACTCAACAAACGTTTATTAAGCTGCCACAGTTTGCCAGGCAATGTACAACTTAATGATAACCTAACCTGGCATCATTCTGCTCTAGCTCTGTACTTAATTGAATGAGTTAATCTCTTCGGCTGTCCATTCACAGTCTGTGAGGAAAAACTATAGAAATTAAATGAATGAGTCAGTCTGAAAAGAAACATGGATGTGGGTATTTAGGTTTCCTTTTGTTCTGCATTCTAAAGCAGGTTACCAGCTAACTACCTTTTCTATTTCTTCAGGGATCCAGGAATTTAAAAAGAATCTTATCTCACTCAGGCAGTGATCTATATGCTTAATCATGAGTTTCTAAATGTTTTTAGAGGTGAGAATAGCACTTTGCAAGATTTTCCAGATATGGAAAAGAAAAACAGCACAGTAAGTTTAGGCAGATAAGGGGAAATGTACTTTGAGGAATAGTTCCCATTCGAAAAGTAATTTTAGACTTAATAATATAGAATAGGTTCAGCATTTTAGAGCTGGACCTTAAAGCTCACCTAGGTCACTGGTTTCCAAACTTCTGCATTAGAGTCACTGGATTTTAAGAGTCTCATGCTCTACTGACTGAGCTAGCCGGGCGCCTGAGTCACTGGATTTTAAATCTCCCTAGAAATTCTAATTCATTTGGTCTGGAAGGGGTTTGGAGGGGAGGCAGGCATGCATATACTTGTAAAAGTTCCCTAACAGTCAAAGCTGAGACCCACAGATCTAGTCCAGCCTTGACATTTTTGGTATGAGGTCCCTGAGGTCTTTATTTAATTAATTCATTTATTTCTTTTTAAGTAGGCTCCATGCCCAGTGTGGAGCCCAACATGGGGCCTGAACTCACAACCCTGAGATTGAGACCTGAGCTGAGATCAAGAGTAGGATGCTTAACAGACTGAGCCACCCAGGAGACCCCCTGAGGTCTTTGAAGAATAAATAACTTGCTTAAGATCAACACAGCTTACAACACTTGGAGCCTGACCTAGAACCCAAATATCCAAATTCCTAGTCTGTATCTCTGTTTACTAAACCAACTGGCACTGTTTCTACTTCTCTTACTCAGTAGTTGAGATCTAATTACCAGTTAGTAATAGAAAGTTCAAGACAGCTATAACCCATGTGACTCCCAAGTCCCCTCCCCCTAATGACCTGTGTGCTTCCTTTCTTGCTAAGTACTGAATAAATCTTCTGATAAGATTGTAATAATTAATATGTTTATTCCACATTTTTAAATACTTCACTTATTTAAAACTTTTGCATCTATAAAATATATCATTCACATCTTAAGACAAAGAAAACAGATTCAATATTTGAATCTGAGTCCAATTAAAGTCTTCATTATTGAGCTTATATAGCTGGGTACATCAAAGTACTCTAACGTCAGGCTGGGTTTTCTTAACCAGCTTCCTTATATGATAATGTCTTTAGGTTGAACACTTCCACTGGGTTCTGAAAGCTCCATGCAAGTAGGGCTCTTGTGCAACTTCATCAACTGTTTCTGAGGACCTAGCAAAATGCCTGCCATAGACTCAACACTCAATAATTCATTGTTGCATGAAAAATCCTTTATTATATTTTGTTAAGAAATGAGATGGAGTGTCTTAAACCAACTTGTATAGAACAATCCTATATAAATAAAAGTACCAGGGAGATGATTTTATAAAGGAGTAGCTTTACAGTTACTTTATTATAAGAGCTTTGGCCTGATTTTCCTGACATAAATTTGTCCTTGCTATACCATTTGGATTACAGTTGGGCTCTCATTCATACTATGTTCAAGTACTTCACTCAAGATATCTTTTACATGTGGCTGAAGGCACAATTGATATGCAATAAACACTGATAAAATAAAATTCATACCAAGTTTTCTTGTGTTTTGGGAAACATAAGCCTTGGTATTATCTGGCAAAATAAAGTGCAGTGCTTTTGGTAACTCCCAGGGGTTGAACAGTATTGTGGAAGGCAGTTAACTCATTTCAAAAGAAGATTCAATCGATGGTTATTTAGAACTAAATTTTTATTTTTATTATTTATTTATTTGAGAGAGAGGGAGAGGCAAAGAGTGAGAATATGAGCAAGTGGGAGGAGGAACAAGGACAGAGAATCTCAAGCAGGCTCTGCACTGAGCGCGGGCCTGACACAGGGCTCCATCTCACGACCCATGAGATCATGACCTGAGTCGAAACCAGGAGTTGGTCACTTAACTGACGGAGCCACCCAGGCGCCCCTAGAACTAAATTTTTATTAAGCAGTTCATTTCAATCCCACCTTTCCAACTCCACCATTTTTACTCAACCACACACCACGATTCCATACATTTGATTCTACTAAGGCTATTTGCACTTTACCCTGAGGTGGCAGTTTTTTAGTGTTTTATTTAATTCACATAGAAACAATCAACATAAAATACCACTGACATCTGTTAAAATGACACATGTTTAAATATGGTAGAGATAAATAACTAACAAAACAATCAATGTTAAAAATTGACACTAGAAAACAAGTGTTGGTGAGGACGTGGAGAAAAAAAGGAACCCTCGTGCACTGTTGGTGGGAATGCAAACTGGTGCAGCCACTGTGGGAAATAGCGTGGAGGTTTCTCAAAAAGTTAAAATAGAACTACCATATGATCCAGTAATCACACTACTAGGGATGTCCCCCAAAATTACAAAAACACTAATCCAAAGGGACACATGCACGCTGATGTTTACAGCAGCATTATTTACAATAACCAAGTTATGGAAGCAGCTCAAGTGTCCATCAATAGATGAATGGATAAAGAAAATGTGATATATATATAGATACACACACACACACACACACACACACACACACACACACACACACAGTGGAATATTACTCAGCCATAAAAAAGAATGAAATCTTGCCATCTGCAACGACGTGGATGAAGCTAGAAAGCATAATGCTAAGTGAGTAAGTCAGTCAGAGAAAGACAAATAGCATATAATTTCACTTATATGTGGAAATTAAGAAACAAAACAAATGAGCAAAGGGAAAAAAAGAGAGACAAACCAAGAAACAGACTTAACTCTAGAGAACAAACGGATGGTTACCAGAGGGGAGGTGGGTGGGGGGATGGGTGAGACAGGTGAAGGGGATTAAAAGTACACTTATCATGATGAGCACTGAGTAATGTAGAAAATCGCTGAATCACTGTATTGCACATTTGACATTAATATAATACTTCATGCTCACAATACAGGAAATAAACTAAAACACTTGATTAGGGCATCTGGGTGGCTCAGTTGGTTAAGCATCTGTCTTCAGCTCAGGTCATGATCCGGGATCCTGGGATTGAGCTCAGCAGGGAGTCTGCTTCTCCCTCTGCCCCTCCCCCTGCTCCTTCTCTCTCTCTCTCTCTCTCTCTCTAATAAATAAATAAAATCTTTAAAAAACAATTTAAAAAATTAGATTGCCTAAAAAAAATTGACACCAGACAATTAGCCATGGTAGAAATATTCAGCACCACATAGTGAATGTTTAATCTCTGATATATAGCTGAGATGAACTAGAGGACTGGAGGGGAAACAGGTATACATTTAGGGGCTTAATCTTAGGTCTAACATTAACATTAAAGCCAATGTTAATGGAAGGAACTAGGCTGTGAATGGGCCACAAATTTGCTAGCTAAATTTTCCTAAATTTAGGAAAAATTTAAAATTCCTAAAATTTCCTAGCTCAAGGCCAGGTACACAGCAGGGATTCAGTAAATGATTTTTTGAATGAATGAATGATGTGTAAGTGAGTAAATGAACAAATGGTCCTCTATATAGAGTATAATATTTGGATCTGGAGGCTTGGCTTTACAACAGTCCATTCAAAGTTATGGATTAATAAACTAGATTTTGGGAAAGTCAGTGCTGAATATAATGTGTGTGTTTGTTAATTAAAATGACCACAAAGTCGTTATTCTTACTCTTAATTTCTCAGCCTGAAAGTTAATAAACTGTATCTGTTCCATGAATAATTGAGTTGAACTTGAAAGAGAACTCCACATTCCAAAAGCCTCCCACACTACCAGTTAACTGTGATTTATCCTTTTACTTCTGAAGAATTTTAAGCATCTTCCATCTGATTTGACTGACAACCAATCTGTGCTTCCTCTGTCTTTATTCTCCCAGGAAGAAGACGTTACTCGTGAAAGTCGTTTTAATTTCAGTGGTTATGGGATGGGTCACTGCCTCCAAGTGAAAGATGGAACAGCTGTCAAGGCCACACCTGCCAACCCGCTCCCACAACCCCCAAAAGATGCAGATGCCATCAAGAAGAAGTTTGTGGACCGGGCAAAAAGGATTGACACAATATCTCGAGCTGCCTTCCCGTTGGCCTTCCTCATTTTCAACATCTTTTACTGGATCACATACAAGATCATTCGGCATGAAGATGTTCACAAGAAATAGATGTGCCCTTCAGACCCTGGACTTTCTTGCCTAACTGTTGTGCTTGTAAATACACAGTGAAATTGTCTTTATATCACTTTGACAGAGGAGGAGACCGGGGGAGGGGGGCGGGAAGATTATGAGAGCAGGTTTCCTGGCACCTACATGAATAAAGATAAGTTATCTGGGCAATGAAGGAAAATGTTTGCACAAAATTAAGGTGTTGCAGAATCATGTGAGCATAATTCCCTTTATAGTCTTTAGCATTGTTCTTTCAGATGATGTATTAATTAGACATGATATGCAAGGTCAAGTTCTCGAAAGTTATTTGTCTTTGGTTTGGTCTGGTTTTGACTAATTCTGGTACTGAAAAGTTAGCTTAAACCACACACACACACACACACACACACACACACACACACACACACGGAAAATGCTTACCATCTGACCATAGTGACTAGCCTATAGTGAGTCAAGGACCAAAATTTTTCAGGAAAATGCTGCCTCGTTTTTAAAACAAGTACTCTGAGCCACAGAGTCTGAGCTACAGTTCTTTACAATGTCTGTAATTAGTGTTTCACCTGAGAAATCCTTTTGTGGGTCGTAAATTATTTCTATTTATTGAGAAAAAAACAACAGAAAATAAACACCAACCACAAAGAACATATTTCTACTTTACTGTCCGTGTAGGTGTGCAATTTAATATTATTTTTCTTTCCTAAATGTAATTTGGGGGTTTAAATTGTGTGTCGTGTAACTAATTTGATAGTATACCCTCTTAAAAATAAATGCCCATTTTATTTTAGATCCCGACCAGCACACTGTATTTTTTTCGCTTTAGCTATATCTACGTGTGACTTTAACTGCTCAAGTGTGACTTAGCCATTGCAACCTCTCGGCCACAGTATTTATGGAGATGGTGTGTCCTGAATGGTGTAGCTCATATTAGCTTGAACTTTCCATTTCTGCTCTCATTGTAGGTGTAACTACTAGTCCTAATGTCAAATGACCCATGATTTCTACTGTCAATCAAGTGAATATTGTTTTAAATATCCTTAACTAACTTAAAGAATTTTAAAATTGTACTGTGATTTTCATAACCCGTTGCCTTTTTGGTACCAGAGCTACGTGGTTTGAATCCTGGCTACATGTTTTAAGTAAGAAAAAATAAATAAAAGACGTATTTTTGCTTACTCAGATAAAAGACAACCTGTAAAAATATAATGAAAAACTTAAATTTTACATGTGCTGTCAAAGGGATTATTAAAAATATTTGTTCAATTTCAATAAAGCTAAGTGTGCCACAGAACTTCCCTAAGAGCCTTGCCATTTTTGCACCACAATGTAAGTAAGTTGGATGACAATGGTAACTTGGATTTTTGTTTCTGGTCTTTCTCACAAACTTAAAGCACTTATAGCTATGATGTTCTGCCCTAATATAATAGTTGCTTTTATAGTGTCCCCAGGAAGAAAGGAAAAATATTATTGTCATTGCAGAAACAGAGAAACAGGTATGTGGAACTACTGGGAGTCACCGTGGGCAAAATGAATAGTGAATACTTCGTATGAGCTCTGCGAAAGTTCCAAGAACACTGAGGGATCATGAAATACCAAAATGAAAAGAAATTTAAAAGAACAATCTGTCCACCTAGCCATCCTGGTTTTGTCAGGAATGGAGTTCTATGATGAAAAAAAATCTGAAAACCTCAGTGAAGTAGAGGAAATTCACCTTAACTCCTTGCAGATTTTCCTTAACCAAAGAAATCCATCATAATATTTTCAGATAAGATGCAGATTTATAAGTTGATGTTTATGGTCATTCCCTAGAAAGGAATATTGTAGAATGGCTAAAAGCGGGAATTTTGCAGATAGAAAGACTAGCTTGGCCACCTATCAACAGTGTGATCTTGGATAAGTTACCTGACTTTTCCTGAATAGCTCCTGTTTCATAGAGTTTTAAGAGGATAAAAAGAGAAAAATGCAAGTAAAGCCATTAGCTTAGTGTCTAACACACAGTAAATTTCCAATAACTAATAGATAATAGTAAAATTATTATTATCATGAATAGTATTGGTTATCCACTGGGAAAGAAGCTTTACAATTCCTTACCTTGGCAAGATCAATGCTATGTTTTTTGTATCATTCCTAAAACATCATTTCTGTCCTATTGCTCACTCCTTTCCAAACAAATAAGGCAAAGTCTTTGATTGGTCTCATTTCTCTTCCTCCTACTAAAAAGTAGTAAACTGAGGCTAAAATGCCTTCCAAACATGGGCCTGACTCCATAAGTATCTTAGGAAGAGCCCTGATGTTGCTTATGGAGGGATAGGGAGGCACCTTGGGGGATAATCCTAAGCTAAATGATCATATCTAATCAATGTGTGAACCATAAAATTTTGGGGGGGAGTGTGGTCCCCACATCAGATAATTTTAAAAAGATTCTCCTCTAAACGTATCTGCCAGCCACTCAAGTAGGCAAAGACATCCTGGATGGCAAGAGGGATTCTTTACTTATCTCTGATTCAAGTCTACATTCAGGGGAAAGAATTCTTCAGTGTGCTGATTTGAGTTATATAAATAAGATAAAATCTCAGGGAAAAGATTTTTGAGCTGCATACTCTGGCAAAATAGATAACTCCCCTATAATGTTATTGGAGATTTTATTTAGGACATTTTTCTTTCATAATAGTATTTGAAGGAAAACAGTTCAAGAATAAAAACATGGATCTGAGGAAGAGAACTTACCAGTTTTCATTAGATTGGAAGCTTCTGGAAGAAAGTGGCTATGTTTTCGTGGGTTCTCTGCACTGCCTGCCAAAGCTCAAATGCCCAGTGAATATTATTACTACAGCTAGGAAAAAGTTGGTGAGGGAGGATATGATGTGCCTATAGACAAAGTTATATAAGTTTTTCCCATCAAAGCAATGACATGAAGTAACCAACTACTGCTACCATTTTTCAGATAATGGATTACTGGGAGATCTGTCTTTTAAATATTTTTGAATTCCTACCACTTGGTTTTAACAACAGATCGAGATGACTTAAGGCTTAAGACTCTTTATTGCATTCTCAAACACCTTGGCCCCAAACAGATACTACAAACCAGGCTTGCTGTAGATTTTTTTAAAAATCCTTCCGGTATTAGCATTAAGCTCCTCATTTGTGCTGCTGAACAGAACTCCCAAATTCTGAAACCAAATTTTCCAATAAAGATTAAATGAGTATCATTTTACAATATGCTTAGTCAATTAATATCAAATAAGAAAGTTCTATCCAAAACACAGCACAAAATTCCCTATCATAAGATTCACAGTTTGGGGGGAAAAATTTATTGAGAATTTTTTTTAATTTATGCATTTCCTAGTTTAAGCCCGAAGCCAATTTGTGGAATGAATATAAGTCATATGTCTGCCAGATATATTTTTTTTAATCTTTCAGCCTCTGCTTTAAACTTTTTCTTATTTTCACCAATTTGGGTTTTCCTAAGTATGATTTAAACGATTCAAGTAATGCATGCTCTTCATAGATCACAAAGTAGAACTAAAGATAACACCACAACCTCATACTCATACAGTGCTTTCAACATATCAGAATGTTCTGATGTCCACAATAGCATTCAATTCTTTTTTTTTTAAGATTTTATTTATTTATTTGAGAGAGAGAGAATGAGAGCCAGAGAGCACGAGAGGGAAGAGGGTCAGAGGGTCAGAGGGAGAAGCAGACTCCCTGCTGAGCAGGGAGCCCGATGTGGGACTCGATCCCGGGACTCCAGGATCATGACCTGAGCCGAAGGCAGTTGCTTAACCAACTCAGCCACCCAGGCACCCGTAGCATTCAATTCTAATAATTGTCCAAGGTGGTCAGATCCAAAGGATCATATCCATCCTATGGTCAATAGATAAACCGAAGCTCCATGAGTTAAATGCCTCACCCAAAGTCACCTGTCATATTGGGGGTTGAACATCCAGCATAATTTGTTTCCTAACTCCTCAGACTCCTACCTGTTCACTCTATACACTGTGTTTAGGAAAATAAAAGCTGAGAAAGTAAAAAGTCATAGTGCCACTGACTCATTCTCATGGATGACAAAATAATTTGGTAAAGGAGGGCATATAACAGAAGATTTCTGTTGAAAATGCCTAAGAGAAATTAATACTACATACAGCATTAAGAATATCCTCACAGAGAGTAATAGCTTATGCAATTGATGGTCAAAAAGATACTGGGGGTGACAAAAGACCAACAGAACTCAATTTAAGAGGTGTTATTTCCATTCTTGAAAAAGGGAAAATGACCTTCACATTGTCACACATGCCCCCACATAAGAAAAAACTGCAATATTCCTACTTTGATGCAAACACATTAAACATAGCAAGTAATATAGGGCGCCTGGGTGGCTCAGTTGGCTAAGCTTTGGGCTCTTGATTTCGGCGCAGGTCATGATCTCAGGGTCGTGGGATCAGGCCCGTGTTGGGCTCTGCGCTCAGCATGGAATCTGCTTGAGATTCTCTCTCTCCTGCCTCTAACCCTCCCCCTGCTTGCATGCTCTCTCTCAAAATAAATAAAATCTTTAAAAAAAATAAGTAATATAGTTTCCCCCAAGCTGAAGGTAGTGTGTATGTGATGCTTTTAGACCATGAACCAGCATTTAGAAAACACATTATCACCTTGGCACAAATGATTCATAAATAGATGAATGTGTCTTCAAAGAGGAGAACAAAGCTCTGGGGTGCTCTTTTGAAGTGTGTATAACACTGGCCTTCTGGTAGGACCCAGGGCTGGTCATGAAATGGACAGCTTGGTCAGTCCTCATGCAGACTGAAGCCTCATGAGAGGTTCCAGGTCCCCAAAAATAATAGAATCAAGAGCTAGGAGACCCTTCATGTGCCAGGATCAGAACTAACCAAGACTTCATCAAATCCAATAGATAATCATTTCCTGAGCTACCCCTGCTTTCTAAGGAGAAAGATGTAGAGTCAGGGTAGAGAGAAAGGGAAAAGAGATCAAAGAAGACAGTAGTCAGAAAGTTCCTTTTAAGGCATAAATCAGATCATGTCACTCCAATGGCTTTCCGACTCAGAGAGAATAAGCCAGAATCTTCATTATGGCCACATGATCTGACCTCCCTACCTCTCTCCCATCACCTTCTCCTATCCCCTCTCCCTCCAGGCATACTGGCAGGTGCTTAAACATACCAACCACACTTCTACTTCAGAGTATTGCATTAGCTGTTTCCTCTGCCCGGCACCCCCTTGCTTAGACCAGGAGTTGCGAAACTTTTTAAAGGCCAGACAGAAAATTGTTTAGGCTTTGCAAACCATACAATCTCTGCTGCTACTATTCAACTCTGCTATTGTGGTATGAAAGCAATCATAGTCAATATGTCAAC